GTCAATTAATAGTGTCAATTAATAGTGTCAATTAATAGTGTCAATTAATAGTGTCAATTAATAGTGTCAATTAATAGATGTGGAGGATGACATTTTATGCCAACCGAGAATCCATTTTAAATTCCAAGTTTAAGCAACGCAGGGACTTGTTAATCAAAACATACCTATAACCGATTTGCACTCGGAGAGCATAAGACAAAACAAAATATGTACTATCGTTAGTTAGACCTATGAGAAGTACATTATCTAGTTGAAGACATATTTGATTTGTCATTGCGTAAAATGTATAGGCAATATTAATTACATTAATGTTTATGTTTCTACTAATTTGCAATCCCTGCTTGTTTTGTGCATTCAACTTTATTAGGAAAAATTCTTGTTTTTTCCAATTGTTTTTCTATGCATACATACATATATATATATATGTATATGAGTAGGTGTTATATCACGTGAATTATGAAGTTTTATACGAACAAGTCTTTAGTGAAAGTAATGAAAGTAAGGATTTGCTTATTCATTTGATCATTTGATCATATGACGCACGTACGTATGCACAAGTTGAAGTTTATTAATATCAATATCTTTCCAAGATAACCAATCATTGGTAACTCAGGTGAAAAGAAAAAAACAAAAATTGGCCATTTTTAGATATGCAGTTGTACTAAAAGATTATATAAATCTGCAAAAAGGATAAAAAAAAAAATTTTTTATAATCATGTACTGTCTGTATGTATTAGGCAATAAATTGTAAATTATAAAGCGAAACAAAAATGTAATAAGATTAAAAATCAATCGTTTGGTTAATTCGCGAGAAAGACGAAATGCAGCATGTGGTTTGTAACGCAAGAACCATCTCGTTGACTCGTTGATTATTTTTATTATATTTGTGTATATAATGGTGCACAGATAATTAGATTTGTGATGTTGTTTTCAAGATAAAATCAAGCAAAAATGAAAGAAAAGTATTCTCTACAAAAATTCCCTTTTTTTTAAACTTGAAAATGTCTTATTTATTGTCAAATTGTCATTCTTCTGATTACCATTACAATAATGAGATTTCTGACACGGCTTTGGCTACAACGATTCCCCATTCTACGTTTTTATTTATTCAACAGGTCATTAACGGATATATTTCTACGACAATGCATAATATGATCAATAAGACTATCTTTCTTAAATTGTATAAACTTATCACGCCACACGTAGATAAGAATTACAGATATTTTCCACCGACCGCCTTCGAAATTTATACGCGTGATACATTCGCAAGATACACCGATAATCTTAAGGACCATCAAATAAAAGATAAATTAGTAGACTTATCAGTTCAAATTTGTCGCGAATGGAAATTAGCGTCGGAGGAAACAAAAGAAGTTTATAGAGTATTAGAAAAATGTTCTCACATAGTTTATGAATACATGATGAAAATTTCTAGACATGATAATCATGATTATCTAGAAAAAAATTCTCAACCCTCTACTTTTACAACTAACTTTACAACTAACACAAATAATCTTCGGCCTGTATCTTTTATCGATACACATAACAAGAGCCATAACAAGGACCATAACAAGAACCATAACAAGAACCATAACAAGAATCTAAGAAGACATATACAAATTTCAACAAAACAAAGCTTACTTTCAGATCATACAAATCATTCAAATCATGTGCGATACCCATCTCATAGACAACTTATTTCTCGTAATTTTCCGTATCCAGAAAATTCGACCTCCTCAAACACTCGAAAATTAAATCTCTTTCTAGATGATACTATGGATTCTGATACTATGGATTCTTCAACATTTCAATTTCCACTCTTTTATGAATCTTCAAAACAGCCGGTCAAACGCTTTTTATCTACTAATAGACCGTCTCAATCCTCAAGGGTTCCTCAAATTCGACGAGAGTCCTTAACGAGCACACCAAATATTTCTTCACACTTCGGTTTTACCCCATTAATGCAGGTTAGAGAAACAAACCCTGTTTGTCCTATTCCAACGTTAGACATGAGAACAAATTTTTTGAACAATGAATACGATCTAAAGTTAGTTAGATCCATTAATGAAAAACTTGAAATAGATTTACATTGTAAAGTTTCCTATTCCTTGTAGATAATATTTTTTTTTAAGTTGGTAGAGCTTTCATTCATAAGTTACTAAACTTTTATTAGCTGATACGTAATGTAAACATATGCTATAAGTTTTTTTATATAAATCACAAAATTATCAGAGTAGCATCGTTACGCAGTATTATGCGATTATTATGCGATTATTATGCGTATATTCGGTATACAACGTCATACAACGTCATAATATATATTTTCAATTCTCGGCATAATCCAAATAAAAAATTTTAATTATACTTAACTTAATAAACTACTTAAGATTACTTCAATACTTTAAAGTTTTTTTCATATGCTCGCACTTATCATGACTGGATTGATGGTATCTTATCAGTACAACTTGAATCATAAAATTTTGTTGATCAAGAAGCAAGCTGGATGGTTATGGACATAGTGAAGTATCTTTTGGAAATAACATGCTTCTTTTAATTGTTTAATTGGATAAATTACGTCAAAGTTTCTAACAATCAACCAATTTAAAGGCAGTGATGATTGGTCCAAATTTGATAGAATTAATTATTTGTTTGTGAAAGAATTTGTGAAAGAATTTGTGAAATAAAATCAGTAAAACTTTTATTTCTTTTCCTTATTTAATGTTATCATTAAAAAACAAAAGTAAAAATATCACTATTGTCATTAATTGTCCGGAATATCACATGATCATCCGGTGCACAACCTTGTACACATTTACGGTATGTCAATTCTTGCAATTCTTGAACTTCCAGACATACAGTGGTAATTTCTTTTCGCTAGCTCAAACCCGTCTGTTGGAACAATAGTATTAAATAGAGACCTGTCAAGACGACAAAACAGTGGATACAATGACAGGCAATTGATAGGCAAGTTACAAGCAACAAGCAGTTGATAGGCAATTGATAGGCAAATGGCAGGCAAAGTGACAGGCAGAGTGACAGGTAAAGTAACAGGAAATAAAAACCGATTCTTGGTGTAACATTTACATACCCTAACACTCACTAAAGCATTTTTAGTATAATCGTGTATTTATACAAAAACAGAAGGGACAGGTATAAACACTATGATGAACAAAGCCTCTCTTTCGATTCTCTTCCATCTTGAGATTATTAAAGAATGAATTAATAAGTATGGTTAAGTACAATGAATAAGTTTAAAGTTGGTTCGCAAGTTAATAAGAATAATAAATTAATAATAAATTAATAATAAATTAATAATAAATTAATAATAAATTAAGAG